AAGTCTTGTGGGTTTCATTGTCAATCTGTTATGTTGTGCTCTGTAATTGCAGTTTGAGGTTCTGTTGTAGACCAAGACCTGTTTGTACACTGCTCATTTCTTAATTAACCTCTCTCTTTGAATCTTTAGATGGCGATCCAGGTTTTGTTGGTGCTGATTGCCCTTGCATGTGTTCCCTGTATGCTGATTGTGAAAACTATGGTGCTTCGGCGTCAGCACCTGTGGAAAAAGCACCTGGTATGTGCATCTGACCACAACTAGAACCCTACTTCTATCTTTCATTACTGTTAAGTTAAGTTACTACCTTTGATATAACCTTTTGTTTTCTTACTCCTGTCATTCATTTCAATGCACATTGTGTAACGTGGTTGGTTGTGCTGCCATGAAAACTGCTTAAAGCCAGCTTTGGAAACGTTGATATTTTGGCGAGAAATGTACGATAACGACTCAACAGACAAAGGACACCCTAAAATTCGATGATACTTTGATTCAGTTGACTTAACTGTATATTTGGCAGTTTTCTATCCAAAATGGTGACGACCATTACCGAGTGCTACCTTGGTAGATATGCCACCTGGAGCTTTCATATCTCTCACTGGTTATGGATCTTATTCCACTGAAGATCAGCAGAGCTAAAACCTCACAAAGACTCTTTATAACTGTAAATGTGGGGCCTGATCTTTACAGAGCAGATTAGCTTTAGCAGTGTTAAACATGCTCACACGTTGTAAGAGAGGTGACTGTGGACTATGGAACTTTTTGCATGTATTTAAAGGTTTTTATCAACAATGTCTGAACAGACCTAACTGGCTTAGTTTGCACTGATTGCTATGTTTAGGAGCAGGGCTGTTTTTCACTACACAGTACTTTGCCTGAGTGCTTCTCTTCTGGGAGAAGACGGCCAATAAGCAACACTGTGGCAAACATTAGTTTAGATATGGAGTTTCTATTTATTAACACCAACAAACAGTCGGCTCTCAGCACAGCAGCACAGCACAAACTGTCTGAAGAGGGCTAAACAAACACTTGTGACTACTTAAGCTAACGAGAAAAGATTAGCCAGCTAGCTGCAATCATAGATCATAAAGACTGATGCCATCGGGCTGTGAACCCAGTTATGAAGTGTCAGACTAAGTGTTTTCACTGTCGCCATTCAAAGTGGACGTGACAGGCTGAGTGTGGCGTGAGTGCACGCTCGCTCACTAACGATTGTTAGTCCCACGCTGTGGATAGCTCTGCTTTCTGACAGATAATTCACTGTTTGTTTGTTTGTTTGTTTGTTTGTTTGTTTGTTTGTTTTGCACGAGCCAAAATGATCCAAACTGCTCATCAGAAACTCGACTGTCTCTGCAGCTCGTTTCTGATGTTTCAGTTAATTTGGTCAAATTAGCCACAAGAAGGACTTTTTCCCATCAGTCTGGTCAAAGGGACATTTGACCATTAGTGGAAAACAGTGGTCATTATCAGCAGAACACAGCTGTCACATGATTC